CTCTGCTCTCCCTCTCTCTCTCTTCCCCTCCCACTCTCTCTCAATATAAATAAACTTTAAAAAGTATTTTTCTTATTCTTAATTGATCTAACAGATACTAATTTGTTCAAATAAGAGCAACAATGTATCCAACCATATATGCTTATAGGTGTAATAAATGTATGTATCCTAATGTATAAGTGAATGAATGACAGAAATGATACAAAGTATGGGAGAGAGAAATTAGGATTTTAAGTTATTATAAGGTACTTGAGGTACTTGCACTACCTATAAATCAATATAGTGTTTCTTAAACTGGACTTGGATTGGGTGTAAGTGTATTTTGTAAATTCTATGGCAACCACTTAAAAAAGTAAAAAATTAAGTACAACTCATACGCTAAGAAAGAAGAGAAAAGGGAATTATACAAAATTCTCAAATAAACCATAAAAGACAGAAAAAGTGTGGAAGACAAAAATAAGAACAAAGAACAGGAGCAACAAACAGAAAAAAGCAAATAAATGTGGTAGATATTAAAACAACGATATCACCAATCACTTTGAAAGTCAGTGAAAAAAAAGAGATTGTCAGAGTGAATAAAAAAAAAAAGACTTATATTTTGTATACGAGAAACCTATTTCATATATAAATACATGTATAGATCAAAAGTAAATGAATGGCTTGGGCTCCTGGGTGGCTCAGTCAGTTAAGTGCCCAACTTGGGCTCAGATCATGATCTCGTGGTTCACAAGTTCAATCCCCATGGTGGACTCTGTGCTGACAGCTCAGAGCCTGAAGCCTGCTTCGGGTTCTGTGTCTCCTTTTCTCTCTGCCCCTCTCTCCTCATGCTCTGTCTCTCTCTGTCTCAAAAATAAAAATAAAAAAATAAAAATAAATGTTAGAAAAATAAATTAAAAAAAGTAAATGAATGGTAATATACTATACTAATATTAATCAAAAGAAAGCAGGAGAAGCTATACTAATTTCCAACAGGGTAGACTTCAGAACAAGGAAAGTTATCAGGGATAGAAGAGAATTGCATAATGATAAAGGGGTCTCTTCTCCAAGACTCATAACAATCTTTAACATGTATTTGCCTAATATGGAGCATGAGAATATGTGAGGCAAAATAGATAGAACTACAAGAAAAGATACATAAATATAATATTATAGTTGAAGATTTTAGCTATATCAGAAATTGATACATCCATCAGGCAAAAAACCAGTAAGTACATAGTTGAATTTAAAAAATACAATCAATCAACTGAATATCATTGACGTCTATAAACTACACCCAACAACAGCAGAATACATATTTCTCTCAAGCACACATGGAACATTCATCAAGATAGATGACCTTCTGGGCCCTAAAACACACCTTAACAACTTTAAAAGAATAGAAATCATACAAGGTCTGCTAACAGACCCAAACAGAATTAAACTAGAAATTAATGACAGATGAACAGCCAGAACATCCCGAATATTTGGAGATTAAACAACACACTTCTAAATTTTTTTTTCAACGTTTTTTATTTATTTTCGGGACAGAGAGAGACAGAGCATGAACGGGGGAGGGGCAGAGAGAGAGGGAGACACAGAATCGGAAAAAGGCTCCGAGCCATCAGCCCAGAGCCTGACTCAGGGCTCGAACTCACGGACCACGAGATCGTGACCTGGCTGAAGTCGGATGCTTAACCAACTGCGCCACCCAGGCGCCCCAAAACAACACACTTCTAAATAACACATGGGTCAAACAAAAAATTTCGAGAGAAAGTTCAAAATGTTTTAAACTATATTAAAATTAAAATATAATTTATGAAAATTTGTGAGATGTAGTAAAAACAGTGATTACAGGGAAATTTACAGCACTCAATGCATATATTAGAAAAGAGAAAAAGCTAAAATCAAACACCTAAGTTTCTACCTTAGAAAACTAGAAAACCAAGTGCAAATTAAATCCAAAGTTGGCAAAAAATAGTTAAAAAATTAAAAAAGAAATGAATGAAATTGAAAATAGGAAATCAATAGAGAAAATCAATGAAACCAAAAGCTGGTTCTTAAAAACACTGACAAAATAAATAAGCCTATAGGTTGGTTAACTAAGAAAAGAGAGAGGGCACAAATTCGTAATTTCAGAAATCAAATTAGCAATTTCAGACATCAATATAAATCCCATGGACATTAAAATGATAATAAAGGAACACTATGAACAACTCAATGCCCACAAATTTAATAACCTAAATGAGATGGACCAATTCCTTAAAAAATACAATCTGCCAAAACTTACAGATGAAATAGACAATGTGCATAGGCCTGTATCTATTAAATAAATTGAATCAATAATTAATAAGTTTCCCAAACAGAAACTACCAGGCCCAGATGGATTCACTGGCGAATTCTACAAAGGATTTAAGGTGGAAATTATACCTGCTGTCTACAATTGCTTTCAAAAAATAGAATCAAAAGAACTACTTTCTAACTCATTCAAAGCCAGCACTGACCTACTACCAAACCAAAGACATAACAAGGAAAGAAAACTACAGACCAATATCTCTCAGGAACATAGATTCAAAAATCCTCAACAAAATAATGAATCATTTCAATACTGTTCAATTAAATATTATTCAATTTCAATTAAATTGAATCCAACAGTGTACAAAAAGAATTATACACCATGGCCAAGTGGGATTTATCCTAGGTATGCCAGGCTAATTCAAAATTCAGAAATCAATTAATGTAATCCATCACATCAACAGGGTAAAGAGGAAAAAAAAATCACATAATGATTGTAAAATAATTACATGGTTTTCTCTTATAATCTATTAACGTGCAAAATTACATTTATAGATTTTTTTTAGTTAAGCCATCCTTTCATACTTGGGGTATACCCAACTTGGTCATGATATTGTTAATTTTTCATACACTGTTAGCATCAATTTGCTAATACTTTACTTGGAATTTTTGAATCTATATTTTTTAGTAAAATAATGCTGGAATTTTCTTCCTCTTAATGAATTCTATTGGGATTGAGATTACTAATTTTGAGTATGTCACAATTACTAATTTTGCTTAACAAAAAACTGCCACAAACAGTTAAAAAAAAAAAGAGGCTGGGAGAAGATATGTACAAAATATGTAACTGACATAAGTTGGCAAGCCAAATATATAAATAACTCAAACAAATCAATAAGAAAAAAAAGACTAACAACCAAAATCAAAAGGGTAGAAGATATAAAATGAAATTCACAAAGAGGACAGCCTAAATATTTAATTACATTCATCAAATATTATAAAAAGATTCTCAACTGCACTATAGGTTGGGATAATACAAGTTCATACAATAATTATATAGCATTGTAAAACCCATCAGAACAACAAAACTTAAAACAAGGAAACAACAAAGTCCTGGTGTGGTAGACAGTGCAGAAAAACAGGAGTTCCATCTCTGCTGGTAGAAGTGTAATTGGTACAACTAATTTGTAGAGCAATTGGGAATATTTTGTGAAGTTGAAATATGCATGACTTAGTTCCTAACAATTCTACTGCTAGAAAATCTGTCATTCAATATACACCAGAAGGGTGTAAAACGAGAACTTTAACAATCTTAATTAATTATAACAACCTTAACATCTGTCTTTCAGTAGGAGCATGGCTAACCGAACTGTGAGAAATAAAATAAATAAACTGTCCCTGCTCACATCTACATAATACATCTTGAAAACTGTATATTGGGTAAACAAACACTAATGCTAGGGGGAAAATAACATGTACAATATGGGACCATCTTCTGCAAATCTTGAAAACACACAAATCAATGTTATTTATGATTTATGACTACAAATGAAAGAATTAAAATATAAGCATGGATAGAAAGATACACACTAATTTCATGAATTAGATGACATGAGGGATGAAGAGAAAGGAATGGGATGGGCGAAGGGGTTTCTATCACAATACTAAATGTTTATTTTTGTAGAACATATGACAAAATGTTAACATTTAGTTTGATACAGAACTTATTTTATAATCCTCTTCAGTTTTTTCATGTTTTGAAAATGTTTCTTGATTTTAACTAAAAGGACTTCTTTAATAAGCACTTGATAAGTACTTGTATTATATTACCACTCTTACTGTCCCTCAAACCTTTCTCTATAGGATTCCTTTTGTGATTTGAATATTCCCCGGGCCAGTTTCCTCATCTGTAATGTAAGAGTGAATAGGTGACCATGAAGATTCTATCTCATATATTCTAAGTGCTTTCTCTTTCCCATCCTCCTTACACCTCCCACTTCCCTGTTTTTAAGATTCACTACCTGAATCCATCATGAATCCATCTTTTCCACTCTTAAGTCTCCTTTTCCGAAAAGTCATCAGGAAACATTTGACCAAAGCATGCTCAGTAATCAAGTTTGCTGAAACTCTAGAAAAGTTTTTTCTTGGGTTGGTTGTTTCCCATTTAAAATAAAAGTCCTACATTTTCATCTGTCCTCTCTAACACAGACGATGTGTAGGGACGAGGAGGTGGTGGGAACAGAAAACATGCTCCATGGGAGCAGGGGTGCTACTGCGTTCTTACCTGGGCGTAAGACTCCATCCAAAGAGCAGCAGCTAACTTTGGAGTGGACTAAAATGAAGCCATCGTATCTCTTAGCACAATCTGGGTAGGGCAGCACAGAACAAACTGTACTTTCCAACTGGAGGTGGGGCGCGGGTGGGGAAAGACTGGTGAGGGGAGAGAGGGCGCCCCAGATCAGAAGCATCCCGCGTAGCATCCTGCCTGAGAAGGAGGGTGCAGTGGCTGGACGAGCTCCCAGAAGAAACCATCCGGGGCTGCTGCAGCCCAGCAGCCCGCGCCCCCGCTGAACTGCGGAGGTGGGGCCAGGGGCGGCCGCGGGACCGCTCGCTCCCCTCTCCCGCCGCGCGGGCCCCCGGATATGCGAGGTCGCAGGGGAGGCTGGGAGAGCAAGAGTGGGCTTCCCAGGCCCACAAGCCTTCCGCTTGCTGAGGACTCTGTTGCAGCCATGGGCTACCAGGCGCAGGGGCCCGTCATCCTGCCTCAGGTAAAGCTGGGGACTGGGGCAGCTTCTGAAGCCAGGTCCCTTCCAGTTTCATTCACCCTGCAACAGAGGTCTGCTGCCTTGGGTTTTAGCACTGCAGAAAGTCCTCCAGGAGAAAAAGTTTTGCCTTCCTCTGACCTTTTTTTTTTTTTTTTTTT